AACCCAAAATAGTCCAATAGTCCACCATAGTAGTGTGTTATCAGCACAGTTGTCAATTGTCCAAAGTTGTTGACTTCAGCGTTTTACAGCTCAGCATATTAATATAGCTTTACTTTGTATACCTCGTGGTTACACTTTTCTGCTGGATGGTTAGGACCAAATTAAAGCAAGACCTACATAACTAAAACTAACTTTTGCTGTGTGATAAGGTCAGTGAAGTCCCCTCAGGATTTACCCTGGAAGCATGTAAAGCACTTTGTAGCTCTTCTGTCAGTGTCAGCCATCTGGATGAGTCATGGCTATTGCTTGACCAATTTGTTCTCTGTGAAAGCCTGAGAGAAGGTTTTCTTTCTAGGTGACTCTCCTTAGGCACGCTATGCACACCGATCACTTTCCTCTGCGGCCCCATAATCTCCTTGATCAGAAAATTTGAGACATCACTTCATAACAAGATGTCACAGCAGAGGTTCGCTTATGTCCTGAATCCTCACTGACTTTGAAAGGCTAGGGCCAAAATATTTACTATCTTTTTAGCTCATGTATCTGTGTAATTTTTAATCTGCAAATTTTAGTTGTTAAAAATCAAGAAGAGAGGCTTAATGATATTATTATCCTATAACAGAAGCAGCTAAGCTTAACATCACTATCAGTCTGAATAGCACATACCTAAGACATAAAATGGAACTGCTACTTTCCAACAACCATGGATGTCCTTTTTATTTTTAAGTTTATTTTAAAGAGTGTATAATAATAATTGGGGGGCCGGGGAGATGGCTCAGTGGAATATACGCTTCCCTGGCAAGCGCAAGGGCCTGAGTTTAATCCCCGGTTCCACCAAAAAAAAAATAATAATTGATAAGACATTAGAAATGGTATACGTTTAGAAAAACAAGATGATAGGCATTCAACCATGGTTTTTCTATTACTCATTGATGAAATGTCGGGATTACATTTCACTACTCTTAGATGTTGCACCTCAGATTAAAGACATTAGCATACAGAGAGAGTCAAAATGAAAATTTTAATCATTAACTGCTACTTTCAAAAAAACTGATAGAAATTAGTATCACAATCATCTGTTCTATGCTGTATATATACTTGCATAATGTTTCCCCCTTCCTTTCTTTCCTACCTTTTCTCCTCTCCCTCATCTTCATTATTTATTCCTTATGTCGAGTTTCCACATTTTACTACATCTAGTGTGTCTTTCAGATTTGATTGATTCTTTCAGGTTCTCACACTAAGGAGAAAATCCAATATGTGCACAATTGGGTCTGATTTGTTGTGCTTTTGAGTATAGCCTCTACTTGCATCCATTTACCTATAAAATCCTCACGTTTGTCTTTCTTCATAGCTGAGTAATACTCCACGGCATAAAAATATATGTGTTTCCATACCTCAGAAGATGGACATATTCATTGTTTCTAAGCTGTGGCTCTGACCAATTCTGCTGCTATAAATATGAGTGCACATATATCCCTGAAGTATGAAGTTTCCTGTTCTTTTGGACAAATACAAATAGCTGGGTTGAATGCAACTCTCAATCGTAGTTTTTTGAGAGTTCTCCACACTGCTTTCCATAGTTGTCCTATCAGTCTACATTCACAGCAACAGTGGGGAAGAGTACCTTTTCCCCCAAAGCTTCTCCAGAATTTGATTTCTTTATGCTGGTCACATTTCTTAAGTGAAATGATATCTCAGTGTTATTGGTTTGCATTTCTTAAATGACCATGACTGTGAAACATGTTTTTCATGAGTACACAGAAGTGTGTATTCATCTCAGATGACCATTTTTGCATTGCAGCTTTGAATTTGGGGGTCCTGATTTGTTTTAGTTTTTTAATATATTTTAGATAGAAAAACCTTTGTCTGAGTGAATGTTGTTTAAGATTATTTACCCCAATTTTGGGTTGTTTTTTCACTGTGTTGGTGACTTCTTTCAATATTCAGAAACTTTTCAATAAGAGGAGATTCCAGTTGTTGATTCTTTGAAGTATTTCCACTCAGTTTGATCTGTGTTCATGAACTGTTTGCCTACTCCTATCTTCAAGATTTCCACCTACTTTCCTTTCCAAGAGATTAGTGTTTGTGGTTTAATCTTTAGATCTTTAATCCATTTTTACTTTAGTTTAGTTCATGGCAATAGACCTAGATCTAGCTTTAATTTTCAGCGTGTGGCAAGACAGTTTTTCTAGCCCCAATTGTTAAAAAGGCTATCTTTCTTTTGGTGAACATGTTTGGCCCCTTTCTCAAAGGTAAAGTAGCTGATTGTGTTTGTACTTGCATCTGCACCCACCCAATATGATCCACTGATCTTCAGGCTTGGTTAGTTTTTTAGTACCATGCTGATTTTATCACACTGGCTTTGCAATATATTTTCAGTTCAGAGATTTAATGCCTCCTTCCTTGTCTTTGTTGCCCAGGATTGCCTTTGCTATTCTAGGTCTTTTCTAGTTCCAAATGCATTCTAAGTATGTTTCTCTAAATCTGTGAAGTATGATGGTCTTTTGATAGAGATTGCATTAAGTCCATATAACAATTTTCGGAGCACTGCCATTTTCACAATGTTGACTTTTCCTCTTCAGGAGCAACTATAATCAGGTAGTTTATACAGCACAACAGGGTATGATTCATTCCAGGGATGCAAGGTTGGCTGCATCCATGAAACCAACACAAGATTTCTTTCCATTTTGTATCTTTCCATTTTCTGAACTCCTCTTAGATCTATTTTTAAAAAAATTGTAATTTTAATTGTATATTTTTTTTATTTCCATTGCTAGATTAATTCCTAGGTATTTAATTTTTTTGCACACTATTGTGAAGGATATTGTTTATCTAATTTCCCTCTCAGTCATTTTGTTGTTTTATAAAGGAATACTATTGATTTTTGGGTGTTGAATTTGTATGCTATGCTACTGAATTTGTTTATTAATTTTAGATTATTCCTGGTGGAGTATTTTGGTGCTCCATGCAGTTTCATGTCATTTGTGAATAATGATGTTTTAACTTCTTCCTTTCCTACTCATATTCCTATTTCTTCCTCTGCTATAATGGCTCTGGCTAATGTTTCCAGAACTATATAGAATTTGAGTGGTAAGAGTGGATATTCATGTCTTGTACCTGATTTGATAGTAAAAGCTTTCAGCTTTTCTCTATGTAGAATTATTTTGGCTGTTGGTTTGTCAAAGATGACTTTTATCAGGTTGAGTTATAGGCCGCCATCTATTGCAACTTTCTGTATGGTTTTGATCATGAATGAGTGTTGGACTTTGTTGAAAGCCTTTCTTGCATCTATTGAAATTATCATGTGGTTTTTTTGGCACTGTTGATATAGTGTTTTCTATTTATACACTTGTTTTTCTTGAACCATCCTTGCATCCCTGGTATGAATCCTACCTGGTTGTGCTGTATAATCTACCTGATGATTTGCTGCATTTTATATGCAAGTATTTTATTGGG